ACTTTGTATAACTAGTTCATTGCGCATAAAGTACGTTTATTATTAATTGAAAAATGGTCAAAATATTAAAATAGAATAAATTTTAAATAAATTATTAAAATTTCTATTTTTATGATTTCGTGATTAATCATTAATATAAATAATAAATAAAAATTATGGTAATTTTCGAAGCTTTTTGAAAGGATTGATGATCTTTCTATTTTTTTAACATGTCAAAGATTTATCTATTTATTTATATTATAAGTTGTTAAGATAATTTAAACGTAGTAAAAATCAATTTATTAGAAATATTAATGATGCAAAACTATAATTAAAATGCATAAGAGACGCGAGCAGATACATATTCTTAAGACACTTATGTATTTCACGGAAATATCCATAAAATCTAAAAATAGACACTACATAATCAACTAAAAATATTAAGAAAATAAATGACTGTAGTATCTGAATATTATGTATAACGAAAATTCTGAATATTTAAATGTGTAGGTAAAAAAACTAATAGAGTTTTTCAATTCTTTTTCATTGCATACTATTAAATGAATACATTTGATTAAACTAAGTTTCAATTAGCTGCCTTTTTAAATATCCTAATAAAATATTGTAAGAATGAAAAAACGAACCTGTAGTTTTAATGGGAAATAAATTTATTATAATTCTAATTAGATAATCGATAGTTTTATTATTTTATTTCGTGAAAAAGCATATCGTAATGACCCCTTTTTTTAGTTAATGTCGTAAAATTACGATACATGATAAATTTTTCTGTATTATATAAATACAAACAATTGAGAAAACAACAAACAAGAACAATAATTGTACCGAAAGTTTCACTGATGGAATTGAAAGTGATTCTTATTCATGTGATTTCAGCTCAACATATATCGCAGAGAGAAAATAAAAAAAAAAACTTTAAATGACATCAACATTTACACAGCATTAAAAGCTCTTGAATATACAATAAAATTTTATTTGTGTTTAAACTGCAGTATACATTTACAAATGTGTATTAACAATCATTCAATTAATAAACATATTGAAATTTGTAACAATTTTAAAAAAATTTATTTGTCTGCAGTTACTTTATTAAATAATATTCCTTCTAAATAAAATACATCGCCAATAAGGAATTGCATTGGTTTAATTATATCATACAGTATTAGGAAACGTATTATTTATTAAAAACAAAAAGAAAAAAAATACCAGAAATTTAATTTCAAACGTAAAGTAGATAAGTTTCGCATGTAAGAATAATATAAGAAAAATATAATTAATATATCATTAAAATTTCGATAAATACTGAAGTTGAATGAATTTACTATTTACTATTTATATCTTGAAATATCATTCGCATTAATATTTATTTCTATTCAAAACATCTAAGAAGCTGTTAAAATTGATTCTATTCAAATATATGAAATAGAGGCACACGATAAAATTATTGACATATAAGTAAAGCACTGCTACTTTCATCATATTAATTTCTTTTCAATTTTCAATAATTATTAAGGTAGCTTTGTTGATTTTACATTTTCAATTAATGGTGAAATAAACGAAAATATTCATTATTCGATAGTGTTTTTGGAGTGGTATGTTAAATCATTAAATTCATTTACCTTACTCAATTATATCCGAGATAATCAAACTCTGGCGACTTAGAATTTGTCGTTAACGATATCTACGCATTAAAAAATGATACATTAACCACCAAGTTAAGGCGAGTATCACAGAAATGTACATTTTTAAAAGAATCTGCTGATGTACAAATTAACATGTTTAATAATACATTAAAGTTATAAAAATCATGAACTTTGTCGATGAAAATTAAAAAGAACATTATCGTATTTATATAATAAATAAATAAAAACAAATAAAAAACAAATAAAAAAAAAATTTAACGCAACCAATGTCCTTGAAATCAAAGAAATATTCTGCTGATATAAGCACATAATTTTGTTTTGACAAAGGGAGAATAACACGAAACTTGCTTGTTTCGAATTATGGAAAAATATTACAGAAACCTTGCTTTACATAACAAATTAGCACATTTAAATATTTAATGATCTTTTATATATTGTAATACTTTTATAATAAGTAAGTGTAACGATCAAAACACTTTATACAAGTTTTTAGTCCGAAATCGTTAATTTTGATTACTTTTATTAAATTCATCATAACGTGATCACTGTTTAGTCATTTATACTACAGAAGTATTATACATCGTTCATAAAAGTTCAGGAATAATGATTTTTTATATGCAATTTACGCAAACGCGTTTCTTTTTTAAACATTAATCTTTAAGCTTGATAATCTTAATCTGTCTTCGTGTGCTAACATATGACTTATTTAAATAATCAGTAGCTTAACTAAGAGGGTTTGATAACAAATTCTTTTCATACATCAAAGCGTTCAGTAATCCACATCATTATAATGTGTTAACGAAGTGGGATGAATGTTCTTATTAATACAAGGGCAAAAAAATTCTTTTACATACGATCAATTCAAAATTAGTTGCTTTTGTTGGGATGCTGGGCTTAGTTGTGCTGAAGTTGAAAAATGTAATGATAAGCCAAATTATTGAACTGCAAATGTACAAATTTCTGGTTAATTCGATCAAATAATATTAAGTTTTGGAATATCAACAAGAGAAAAAGTGTCAATTTTATTAGTGAAATACGATTTAATTACGAAGGCGCATATTTCGCGACTGCAAAAATATTTCGTATTATTATTATTCTCTTATTGAATTGAATAATGACAAACAATAATATCGAAGATAAAAATAAAAAAATTGCTTAGCATTTTTTGAGAAGAAAAATTATGCACTGCGAGAATAAATTATCCTTAAATTTAAATTTCACAATAATATCAAATAGTCGATTAAAATACATACGAATTAAATGAATTGAATAAACACTTTGTCATTTAATAATTATTTGTACGGACTCCAATAAAAGAATCGGTCGCCTTTTTCACCACTTCAATTTCTAATTTTACTTAAAATCTTAGTTCCATCATTTTAAATTATTTAATACACTCACATAAGTGATAATTGCTATATAAATAAAAACTAAATGTCTTCGAATGTCGTTATTAATAAACGCAATAAACTATAAATAACGACTTAGCATGTACGATTAGGATTATTATTAATATCATAGTTATCTGTAACTTTAAATCAAAAGTAAAGTTATATATAAAAATTAAAGATTAAGAGTAGGTGATTTCATTTAAAAGCTCGTAGTTTTTAATAGTAAATTATTTAAAATCTAAAATTACGATTAAAATTAAGACGAGCTTCGTAATATATTTGAAATTCATATTTATAGAGTAAATCCATAAAGTCAGTAATATTTGCTTCTAACTATATATATATATATATATATATATATATATTTATCAAATTATAACATTTTTTTACTTCATTGTTCAGTTTGCTTTGATTTTTACATCCATGCGAGCAATCATGAAAAATGACTGCATATAATAAAAATAATAATTACATGTTGTTTCGATATAGCTAGCTCGAACATAACAGAAATTATTTTATAAATATCAATTTTATAAACAAATTTGAAAATAAAGTAACATGCAAAAAATAGCTAATGCGAATGCTATAATCTTGCAACGTGCATATTTATATAAACATAAGCAACAAGACAAATCTATCGAGCGATAACAAAATTACGAAAAATGTAGAATTATATATATATATATATATATATATATGTATAAATAAGGATTAATTTAGCGTTTATTAAACAATGAGAATTTTAATTAAAATATTGCACGATAAGACTGAGATTTAAAAAGTTTGCAGATCTTTATTTAAAGCGATCGTTACAATACATCTCGAAAAAATTGGGCAATGAATTTCATCAGACGATATTCATCCTTCTCTAACTAAATATGTGCGCAACAAGTTGCGGCAAGTGGTTGCTCGAAACGAATCGTAAAGTGATGGAGCTGACCCATCAGGAAACTCAGGATGTAACGCGCGCACTCAATGAATCACATGACGCAGAGGCACGCGGTCGCGTTTCGCCGGTCATGTGACCTGCCAAGTCACAACTTTGGAACAGTAGTTTAAAAAGAAAAGAGAGCGCACGCGTGTGTAGTGCATTTGTATCGAACAGACGGATAAATAGATAGATAGATTAATATAGATGGATAAATGGATGGTTGGTTGGATGGATGGATGGATGGATGGATGGATGGATGGATGGATAGGTAAATAGATAAATGGATAGATAGATAGATAGTAAAAAGAGATGCGGCAATTTAAAGGCTTATTAGATGAGGTTATGCTTTAAGTGAAGCGTTCATATGTGTGTAATGTAGCCGAGTGTGCCATTATGCATCTCGTGCAAAATCCTGGATACATAGTATGGAGCACGCAAATTTTAGCCGAGAAAAATTAATTGATTTATATATATATATATATTTATATTAAGTTTGCTTATCAAAATTACATTCCTTCAAACTATTTTATACGGCCCGCGTCCTGTCCTTTCTTCTTTGTCCTGTCGAAACTCTTTATTATAAAAGTTTCCATGCATGAAACGAGAAAAGACAAGATTTACTTCCCTAATTGTACAGGGCATTATTTAAAGTTTGTCGTCTGACAATTTACGCGTTATCAAATAACTTCAACTTTTTGCGCTTAAAATACATTTTGTCGTTAAAAACATATAAAGCACTCTTCTAAATTGCGATAGCTTCCATAAAGATAATAAATAATACATTAAATCTTAAATCGTTTTAAAGTGCATCGATGGGAATACGGAAAATAATGACTGTTCGGTGTTTGCTAACGTGAGTACCACTCCCAACTAAAAAAAAATAAAAAAAAAATTAATTAATTAATCAACAGAACATCGATAAGCAACGGCAAAAGTCGTAGGCAGACTACGAATGGTTGTTCACGTCGATGAAAGTTTATAAAGCAACGCTCTCACTAATGTCAAATAACGTATGCTTTTAATTATATTTAGTTTCACCTCGCCAGCAAACGCTTGCCCATCGACAGTATGCTCGGATCCACGAGAATCGCTACATCCCCAATGACAATGATACTGCTCGAGCTTGTAGATATCGTCCATCAAAGGCCCTCCACTAAGAACTGAAAAATGGAAAACAAAATGGAGGTTATACTCTAATAGTGGAGTACGGCACTGTAAAGTGTGAGCTCACCCTGCTCGAGCAACATTTTCAAATTTTAATCGTATTAAGCTCATCATACGCTCTCTCTCTCTCTCTCTCTCTCTCTCTCTCTCTCTCTTATTCAATCGCATGTTGATCGATCAACGCATTTAAGATGATGCTCTCGGCGAAGGAAGGCTAATGGATCGTAATAATTTATCGAATTAATTCACGCAGGACTCGTTGGGCTCGGCATTGCATCCAAGTTATTACAGTGCTCAAGACACCTTTTTTTCAGCCAGTGAGAATATTTAGCAATGAGACTTGCTCGCATTAGCATCACAAAAAAATACTATTTACAATTCAATTTATAATACCGATAAAGGATATATGCAAGCGTTACAAAAAAAAAACAAAAAATAAACGCTTTTATCTCCACAGAAAGGGACGACTTTTTTAACTTAAATTTTGCAATATTTAATTTATTGTTATTCATTAGTTGCTGTAATTTTAAATTAGCAATCAAAGTAGAATGGCGATATATTCACAGCGAAGGTAGAGGCATCGTGGTCGAATTGAAAAAAAAATCTTGCACGCGAAATAGATTTCAGAGTACCGCATTAAATAAATTTTATCTGTAATACTTACTGGAAAATATTATGCTTTTTTTTATCTATACTCATATGATAAAGACATTACATGGAATGTGTGCATAAATGATTATATTGCGATACATATTCAAATTATACAACAATACGATAAATTTCATTGAATTAATTAAATTTGTCGATTAAAATTTAATCGACAAAAATATTGAGTATATAATGATTATCATAAATGTTCATACACTTTTATATGCGCATTTATAATGCATTTATATACACATTTATCATTTTAAGCATAAACGACATCATCGTTATCGTTCGCATAAAATAATTTAAACAAATAAGAACGCATTTTCGCAGTAATGTTAATATTATTAATTTTCATACTTCATCTGTGGGTTACATAAAAGTAAGATAAATAATATTTACTAATTTATCAAATTAATAATCCTTATGGAAGCAAATTTATCTGATCTATCGCGCTTAATGTAATAAATTTGTAAAAATGAGCAATTATATTCTGCTTTTATTATTTTCGTGCGTGGAAATTATTTGTTTTTAATGTTTGCACCCATTCGTAAATTTAACAAACTACTAAAGAATCCAATTATTCTTAAATAATTAATTCTACTTTTTTGGTATGAATTAAAATGTTTGTATTTTTACGAGCTTATATTGAAAACAAAGGAATATTTTTTTAAAGCAGGTGCTATTTTTTATTCAACACGCGTTAAATGAATATACATACGGAATTGTTCCTGATTCCAATGAACATGTATTCGTAAGTAATATAATTTACATGAGCATTAAATTTAAGTGCAAAACGTATTAAATAATTACAATTGTTGTACTGTAAGTTTTTCACAAGATAAATTCATGTATTGAATGACGATTTAATAATCTAATCATCTGAAATTCTTCATTCGTAAAGTTATGAAACAATGTCCTATCGTGTGTATTAAATACATTCCATTATCTATTTATATTGAAATGTCGAAGGAAATCTTAATTTTCTTCTTATATATATCCGAGTCTGAAGTTGAAAAAACAAACTAATTGAAAGATCTAAAATGACGCTTGGCTTTGACGACTAAAGCTTAAGTGCGTGAATAATAAATATAAATAAGATCGCATAATCAACGCATGAATTATGGAAAAGCAAACTAATGGTGCCCGTAGCTTTTGAGGATTAGCCGTTAACGAACAAGTTAATGCAAATATTGAATAAAGGACGATAGGTGTATGAACTCATAGGATACGCTTTTCATTGCTTGTCCAATTGTCTCGTCGTGGCACATCCTACATACGTCATGAATGTACGAGTAAACGGGAAAAGTGCGTGAGTTGCCCAACGACGAAAACGATCGACTTTCTCACACTAAACCGATCACGAATATCATTTTTTTTTCACGAACATCGCCGGAAGAGTTTTTTCGTCAAGGTTACGAATTATTGCCCATTAACGAGAAAATAAATTGGTTTTGTTTTTCATGATGATGAAGGAATGACGCAAATCACTCGTGAAATGAATATATTTTCACGATAATGTTTACATAATGTTTCTTTTTTCGTCCAAGACTATAAGATGTACTTCAATATTTTCACGTAATGTGAGAGTTTCAAGAAGTTTATACACATAGATATGGGAATAGTTATCGGAAATAAGTTTTATATTGAAAATGTTTGATTAACATTAATGTGGATTGATGCGGATACGATGAAAACTCATTGCGCAAGCCAAATTATATCGATGCTATTGAAAAATATTTACATTGGCTTTTCATTAATTTTGAAAATGTTTCTCCTGCGGATTCGTTTAAACAATATCTTATTAATATTAATATTAATATTCCGAGACGTATTTAATCAGATCGATCATCATCATCGACACAATAATTGAATCGATAAATTAACTATAACTTTTTATGCAGCAATGATTACATTAATGAGCACATCTTAAGTAACTGTTAATATTGTTATTTCATAGGGAAACGTTAAATAAATAACCGCGATAATGAAAAATGTATTCCAAAAAAATATTGTATAGACAGATAATACTGGCTATGATAAAATTAGATAATTAATATTAAATAGACCATTGAAGGTATGGTAATTCCATGCATATTTAGCTTTATAAGAATAATATATGTATTATTCGTAACGATCGATATACATTCGTCGATCGTTCGTTCTTTCTCAATTTACCATTCAATTATAAATAATGTAAGAATTCATCTTAATTTTAAATAACGTCTTTGTGATTTTTAAATCATTAGAATTTACACCGAGTTATACTTGAAAAACAACAATAAGTTATATTATTAGACAAAATTTATAATTTCCAAATTTATACAAAGTCTAAAGAATATTAATGAAAGTAATCTTGTTACAATGAACAACTCGGAAGAGACTATTATGTTGCCTGCGACTTTACGTAATTATATTTTCATTGTAAAGAACTACATTTAAAAGTCACCAAGATACGTCATAATGGTACTAAATGAAAACAAGAAACGTTTTTCACTTGTGTTACATATGAATCATTGCGTGGATTTATTTAGTGATTGAGTTCGTTTTTTTTCTCTCTCCCCTCCCGCCGCCATTAAAAAAAAAAGGTTTATAAGAATGTAGGGACTATAAACGGCTTTATAAATCGATTTCTGACTTTTTTTTTTTTTTAAATCATTCGAGGCTTGACCTAATCCTGATAGTAAGTGAACATAAACACATTATATTCCTTTATCTTGGAATATTTTCTACTAAAAATAAGCATTTTATATTTTTATTTTATATTATCTGTTAAGAGTAGACGCGAAGTAATATTATATATCTTGGTAGAAAATATAAAAATCATGTGATGTTCCCCTTCCTTGCGAAAACGCAAGAAACATAGTATTTGAGATTTTAGATTTGTAAATTAAATTTATATAATTTTACAAGTATTTTTTATTGCAAAGCATTTTTATAAATTGAATATGTATTTTTATTATTATTAATGTCATAGTTGATATGTACAATCCTTAATATGAAAATGTCTAAGTACAATTATAGTCACTTTATACCACTATAAGTAATGTATTTTTTTTTCTTTTACTTTTTTAATAATGATTTCTCGTATATTATGCTTTTGTAACATTTTAAAAATTCGCCAGTTTAAATAAATTATTTTCATGCATCTGAAGTATATTATATGTAGTATATGTTAGCGAAAATAAAAAAAAAAATGTTTAGCTCCGAAAATGATAGGATTAGACAAGAAATTTTCTTTGCATTGAGTAGTATGTAATCAATATAGTAAGAATGTGCATTCCCAACTGAACGACCTTATGTTCTTAATAAAATTTTGTAGTCTAACGAACTCTTCTTAAACCCTTTCTTCTCAATAAATATCTCCAAGTAGAAGATTTGACAATGTCATCCAATCCTACTATTATAAAACAATTTATATTTTATTCAATTCAAATGGAAGAAATAATTTATATTCTCCGATATAAAATAATACATGATTGTAATGACTAGATGAAAAAAATTTCAATAAAAAGAGTGTTTGTGTAAAGCTTTTATGCAGGATAAAGAAACTGAGTTGTTCGTTGATGACAGTGTGAAGCGAACACGTGTTTATGATGTTACACAAGAGCTCGTCGATGCTACCCAATCATTAATTACATTATAAATTGAAATGCAACTTAACTACCAAATCGTTTTGTAACTGCTTACACCCACATATAAATTGTATCTCACGTGTATTTATGTGAATCGATGTTATTCAATTAAACGAGAATACAACATTTTTACACTCAATGGTTTAATATAAAAAACTCACGTTGTAGTCCAATGTTATGAAATGTTTACAGATTCAAGGAAGTTTTTACTCACATAGTGAAAAGTGTATTAAACTTCCTCTACGTCTGTAATTTCCATTATATTTTTACCGACCATCAATAATCCTACTGAATTATCCAAAGATTAAAAAGAGTTGTTTAATTTTTTATTATATGGTTTAATAAATTTACTTACATATATCTATAAAAAATATTGATTTTGTTATCAAAAGTGTTACGGACATTAATATGGATTTATTTATGTTAAATAATTCTTACTTTTTTTTTTTAATAATGTACAAAGATTATCAATATTATATAATTCTTATGGATAATCAACTGATATATTATGAAATATATTAATTTTTGTATTATTAAATATTAAATAAAATAGCAGTCCGAGATAAGTAACATTGCAAAATTGCATTACGAGATATATTCTCTTTATTGGTATTAATTTTTCGATTTAATGACATTTTTATATCTGATCGTCAAACTTGTTAAAATGTATTATACAAACTTAAATTTCCTCTTCTTTAATAAACATTTCAATACAATATTCTACCCTTGCATTTACAATATTAGGATTATTTTATTGACATGTTTTTTGTCTTCGATTCTACAATCTAAAAAAAATGGATTGTTATTGTATTATGTAAATTTATTAAATAATACATATAAAATAGCAATATTTTAACATTAAATATTAAGATAATTAGATTAATCAATGAATAATGTATTATCATTATAATAATTAAATGAAAATTTTATTATTAGTAATATCTTATACGTGACGAACTTAAGATGTTGAAGTTCGCAATGCGATTACGATTATGGAGAAAACTCTTAGCTAAAGTATATAACATTTAGTTTTCATTGCCAATCGAACAAAAATGTTTGCATTATTTATTAATTATCATGTCATCGTTATTAAATTCTATATAAAAACAGTAATGAAATCAGAATTTCTCTACCTCTCATATCTCTGAAATTTTTCGAACCGTTCTATTCTCATTTAAAGGTCGTGTTTTTTTTTTAATTTAAAGGAGAGAATTTACTAAATGAGGGAAACATTTGTGAAACGAATATACATATATCTTTGAGTCTATCTTTAAGTTCCAACAAACGGGATATTCCAATATGGTCTGCGAGTCCATTTATTCTCCGGTTCTCAACTCCACACCCACTCACTCATGCCATATCGATATTACAAAAAAACAACAAAACGCATTTTCACATTTTCTTCTATAAATATATTTTTTTATTTATAGCTAGTATGTATATGACAAAATAAATTTTAAATTATTAAAAAAAAATTTGAATTAGTACAAGTATTATATTTTTCCGATAGATTAATTACTCATTGTAAATCACACATTAACAATATAATCTATAAAATTAAAGTTCGATGAAAATATTAATTTTAATTAAAAACTATGCTGCGTTTGAATTATTTGGTATTAAAGGCAGAGTATTTTTACTACATCACATAAGCAGAATAGATTAAATAAATTGTTGATTTGACCATAAGAGACGGAAGTATAAATGTTGAAAAGCTATGACATTTAATTCGTTAATTTTAAATAATTATAATTTTCTCTATATAATAAAATTATTATATATATATATATTAAAATTTTTAACAGAATCATTTTCCATCGATAATTGCCGTACTAAAGAAAATTATTATTCACAATGGCTTGCTTAATAAACAAAGGCAACAAAATCCATAAAAAACTACTTACGAAATTGATGACCATTAGTAAATGTATATTAAAAACTGTTTGTTCGAAATATTATTTACTTTAACATATTTTTTAGTGCATAAAATAACTTATAAATACTTAAATAATGGAAGTTTTTTAATCCTGAAATGTTTTTCAAAGAAGCCATATATTTTTATAGCGGGACGTACTGTCCAGTCTTAAAACGCATTTAACCGATTAAGTTTCGGCTATTTACGAGAGTTTTATTATTATTTTTTGTTTTGTTTTGTTTGTTTAATATATTTTCGTTTATGTAATTTTGTATGAAAATAATTATATAAGCAAATTACATAGAGAATTGGAGTTAAGAAATGTAGTCTGAATGTCAAACGAATTTATGAATGTGAAATATTTATTTTTAAATATTTAATTGTATTTTCTATTCATGTTACATTTAAGAAGTTATTATTGAGTATTTAACATAAAATATATTACAAAATTTTAAGTGCTAAGTACTTTTATATAGAAACTAATCACAAATAACTATATTAAACAGTTAATTACATATTATGAGATTATCAGTTTGGTTATGATTAAAAAAAAATATATATATATATTTTTATATATTATATAAATATATATATATATATTTTTTTTAATTAAGTAATTTACTACCTAGCATTAACAAGTATAACTTGATTCATTATAATTTTTTTTTATGTTAATCAAATTTTAATGGGCAAAATATTAAACTATATTAAACTTCCTCAGTTATAATTTGAATTCTTGTTTTTTTTCTGTTTTTTTTTTTTTTTAAATTAGATTTACATTTAAATATATGTCATTTGCCCTTTTATATTGGCAGTATATATAATTAATTTTCGGTTGTCGATTTATTATATAAATTGTAGATTTACATTAAAATCTATATGCCCGTGTACATTTACCAATATTTAATTATCATTGTTTGTATAATGCATCTGTAATAAACCATTAATACCACCTTAATTACCACTACAGATCTTTTGGAAACCTTCGCACGTACTGTTATCGCATGCGTAAAGTACACTTTATAATTTATTGTTGCTGAAAGAAAATTTAAAATCATCTTTCAGCATTAAGCGTATGAAATTCAAGACATATTCTTAATATTATCATTATCAATCATTTTTATATTTAGTCATTTATTTATTAGTCATTTTTATTTACTTTCGAGCATTAAACGTGTCAGCATTTTTAATAACACGTGTACAAATTCTATAAAATATACACTCGGTATATTACGCAATTACCCAATTCTCTTATTTCTACGAAGCCACGTGCAATAGAGAAATACGATACAGAGATAGAATGTGTAAATATTTTCTGATTTGATTGGGAATACTGTGAAGTACTTCCGAGGTGCAGCGTTACGTGTACAAACGAACGTCTTCCTATTATTTATAGCGGATAGGAAGCATAGGCGACCTAAGAAAACAGATCGATATCGAAGTTTCAATCGCCTATACCAAACGAAGCATCAAATCGCTTAAACGTCACTCGTGAACGAACGATGATAATGGCGACAGAAGACCCGTACATTACAGGAGTAAACGAGTTAAAAGTCTATGGCTCGCCAAGAATCTAATATAATATAATTGTAATATGGCATTAACATTTAAACCTACAATCCTCTTTATTTCTTTACGAGCTCGTTATTAAATTTACCATAACTTGAATCTTGTAATTGTGACGGGTTATGTGAAATGATCGCGAGAGCTGATCGAAGCTTCAATTAAATCCAGCTAGAGACCAGACAGATCCATCTTCACCGTAACGACCAAAGAACCTTGGAAAGTCCGCTCGATCTCTTCCCTAACGGACCTACCGCCTCCATCCGTAACAACTAACGTAACATGAAATACATGTGTTTGCGTACTCACGGGTGCCCTCGCCGTCGGTGTCCACTCGCCAACAATACCCTGGATTGAGGAGCTTGCGGGATGCCGTGGCCGGATACTTCCATCTAAGAGGTTTGCTGCTTAGTGCCTCGTGATCGGACTCGGCTCGGTCCGTCTCGATGTTAACTGGACTCTGGCGCGAGCCCGCCGCCATGGGAAACTTTTCCACCCATGTGCTGGGTCCTAAAATCATGAAAATCCAAAGCGGACAACGTTAATTTAACAAATTCCAATTGCTCGCTTAATTGTGGAAGGGACAGAATTTTTCGATAAAGTATTACCCATCCCAATGGCCGTTCATTTAACCGAAAAACCCATCCGCGTAAGAAGGATGTGTGCGTAGAATGATGGTGGTGTACTCTTATCAATATCTCGTGTATAATACGCTGACGCTTGAGTTGAGAGTAGAAAATTTTGTCCTCTGGATAATAATGGCCTCTCTGTTACATTGCTCTTCGAACATTTCGTTGGCATAAATAATTATATTAACTTATCACAAGTTTCTCTGAATAAATTTATACTCTAATCATAATTTCTCGGACTAGGTAACATGTAAACAGTAGCACGAATATTCTAAGTTACTCGCTTGTAAATAAACTATCAAGATCATAATAAAAGAATAAATTTTTATTGCGAACTTAAATATTAACATTTGCTCAACTTATTTATTGCTAGTGATATTAACTGCAGCATCTACTTTGGCAATTTCAACGCCTACATTTACATTATTTACTGTCTCGTAATATCGCGCTTGTCCGTATCAACGATACAATAAATTGAAAATGAACTTTCAATGACTATGAAAAAGTGATATCTGCAATAATTATGTATAATTAGGCTGATACGGTCAATTGTATTCACTCATTCAAATGCATGGCAATTGCATTTGAATTGTAATTGTAAATAAACATATTTTACTTGAAATTATAATCGTTAAAATTAATCGCTTATAGTCATCCAGACTAAACTAATTGAAGCAATTAAACGTCCATAATTTATAATAGAAATGCATCTCCAAGCTCGACTCGTCGAATATTAGATTAAATGCTAATTATACAAAAAAATTTTCCCCACTTCCTGCAAAGCAATGATTTTATACTAAATGTCTTTGTTATATCCAAAATTTTCAGAATGTTCATTTAACAATGACTCAACATTACTAAAATTTTGATTAATAATTATTTGTAGAAAATTCAGAAAAGAAATTACTATAGTATCAATAAAGTTAATGTACTTTAATTTTGGAATTTAATAAATTAATTACAAAATTAACTGCATTATGCATATATATACGAAAAAAAGTATTACCCATTGCTCTATACTTATTTAGTCTTTTTTTTATGTTTTTTTTTTTTTGTTAAGCAATTGCATAGTATTAATTTCATTAATAAATGAATTGTAACAAATAGATTGTGTCAACATTGTTTTCATGTTCGGTACAATAATAAAGGATATGCTTTTATTTTTTAAATGATTATTTGCTTATAAGCTATTAAAATTCTTTTAGCTTAATTGAAAATCTATTTGTTAGTCGAAAACTTATAAACTTATTTGTTCAAATATGTTCTTCGCCTATGTAAATGACAGCTCTGTAATTGGTAGCTAACCTCTTAGTTATTAAAAAGAACTTATAATCATTGGTTTTATGGAGAAAATAGTTTGACCCTCGCAGTGTTAAAAAATTGTAATTATCATAACGATACGCTGTCATAGTCCACGTCGCTTATATACTCGTAATTAATAGATACAACCCAATTCAAGGACACACTGCTATGAATCATCATAGTATCACACTTGTACGGTTAAATGAAACTAAAATTCGTGTGTATTCACAATACATAGGAGTTGCGACATTTAAAAGAAAATTTGACAGAATTTTTATTCTATGTTTCATTAATTGTTATTTTTGAATGTATCGTGTTCTAGAGCTAAGCAATTAACACATGTAAATTGATTGAACGCATTGTCGATTAAATCTAATTGAAGCTTATTGTCAGTCGGACTTGAAGAAAAACAAATCATAATCATAACAAACATAATCATGCTTAATTACATAAAATTAAGTGAAATTACAAATTAAATACACATATATTGTACGCGGCTTTAACGCGCAATTCTAAAGCATTGAAGATGCTTGGATAATCTCATTGTTATAATAAATATTAATATAGTTTGCAGCCTAAACAATATGTAACAATAATACGAATATAATTATAATAATTTAGTAACAGAGAAAAGATAGATTCATAAAATGAAATAAAAGCTTCTATTATGCTAGAATTCACAGAGCTTATCTGTCAGAATTATTAAAACATCAAGTTTGTAAGTCGTAGAAATTATTTGAATCTTTATCTCGGATGTATTTCGAAGCTAAATAAATTATTTTACGTTTTTATTGAAAAAAGGGTAAATAAAGTTTAGATAACATTTAAGCAAATAACGTTGCGCAAGAAAAACAATAGTTGGATTTTACAAAAAGATTCTGAAAAGCGATACGATACGTCATTAATGACAAAATGATAAAATGTTGAAACAATTAATAGGTTTAACGACATCCTACTTTTAAGGAGCCAATAAAGGCACGAAAAATATTTGAACCATGTGATTACACACACACACACACACACACACACACACACACAGCGGAAACGTTTGAAAAATTTTCATTAAATATTATTACTTGGAAATTCTTTATTTTTCAGAAAGTCATAGTAGATTAAAATCATTATTTGCGCAAAAAATCATACGACATATGCATTATTACGAATGTTCATTGTTATATAAATTTTTGGAATTATGCGACGGGAGAAATCGAGAAATGAAAGTATCAAAACTTTTCAAAATAGATGATCGACTTTTTAACTTTGTTCCCTTTTATTATTATTTTATTATTATTATTATATTATTATTTTTAACTCCCTTCACATCAACACTCCATTACTTTAATGTTAATTTCAGTTAATTGTCGGTTAACGACAGTATATAATATAATTGGGACAAGGGTTTTTCCATCTGGTCGATCACACGAGAAGTGACGAAATCGTGACATAAGGAACGAGGATGGAATAGTTAAACGCGATGCATAAATAATAGAAGCGTCTTTGGCAATCTCCGTCTCATTCCTCCTCCTTCGGCTCGCAATACAAAAGATCGAGCTCGATAATAAAAGAAAAAGAGGCGCGTAAAAAAATCTTCGGCTTCTTAAAACACTGAGAAACATTTTGTGCGGACGCCACGAACCTGCGCCCAACTCGTCTAAAAATTGCCCTATGATCCATCAATCTAGTAAGCGAATCAGAATAATAGCTGAGAGTGGCATTCCCATCGATTTTCCCATTCTTTCGCTGAATAGCAGAGCGGCAATCTGGTCGTGGAATTCGGGACGCGGATTCGGACGTTCCGGCGATCGGTCGCCCAAAAGTTCGACGATAAGCGATAAGCGTCCAAGGTCTTTGTCTCGTCTGGTTCTCGTCGTCGGCTCTCGCGATCATAATTTCTTATTAGTGACACGCTTCCACCAAATGAGCGACGGGAGCTTTAAAGCCAACACTCGACTCCCTGCAAATCTCACCTTTTCTCCGCCTTGATCGCTTTCTTCTAAGAAGAGTTGTCTTTTATCATTTCGGCTCGATTAGTCGGCCGTACTATTCGCAGGCTTGCAAGTTAAGCAAACTCGCGAGTTTAGATTTGGCAAAACTACGTATGCAAATAAGTCGTGGAGCTCGTAATTCGTTTAACGTCAAAGTCAAGAAATTAACGCTGCGCGGTAAAGCATTATATAAGGTCTTGAGAAATAGTCACTAAAGACATTCGCCGCGGCTTCTTCTACTACAAATAGCGAGGAATCCAGAATATTATCAATCTACGTGCTTACCTATTACCGATTTTCCTTTAAACGTATCGATGCATCGAGATGCATTGTTTATTTTAATAAGTTATACGCTGTTCTAAGAAAAAAAAACGTGTCATCGTTAGTTAGTGGAAAATGTAATTCGTTCACTGAATTATTACACATTAAAACATCTGCTAGGCGTAACAAATCGCTGCATTTTTGTAAATAAGCAATTGATATTTGACTATGAGAAGAATGTAATTAATCAAATTTTATCGAAAAAAAAATGGGCAAAATTTTGTGCATTGAATTTGGCTATTATTTCGTGATTTTTAGTAATATTTCGTCGTGTAAATCGAGCTGTGCAACTTTTTTTTTGCATTTTGATAATTAACGTACGACCTCGATGGTTTCCTCTTAAAAATCTTAATTTAATAAGTTTGGCTAATATTATTCCTCTCGCTTCGTCAATTTTAAACTTCAACAATACCGTTCTATGTAATGGTTTTATTATCGTTATTATCGTTATGTTGTTATTATTATATCTTCTTATTTATAATATGCCAGGTAATGAGAAAATAATAGAATTTTATCACTGGCCAGGGTCTCTTGAGTGATAAATATTTAAAATTGATGGATAGCATAATTGAAAAGAATAAAAAAGGAATTCAATAAGTTTTTCATCTTATTGAAGTTATTCGTCGTTAGTTCTATGTATTTCATATATTTTACCGCTCACCAGCCGCGAAATTAATATATAATACATAGAAGCATGGACTTTATTATTATTTATCCATGCGGTGGAGTTCCTCGGAGTTTCATTCCTCCAACATGAGATTAGTAGATAGTAGATTATAAAAATGCAAACTGAACCCTTGAGATTAGCATTTATTGTTAACGACTGAATTCAGAATTGACAGGTTGAGGCAATATTTTTGGTTACCTTGTCGATAAATCGCCGGGAGATTTAATGAAATCGGTTAAATAAGCGAGACTCTCATCCTACTATTACCATTCTATTTATTACGCAGCTTATAAAATCGTCCATTCTCATGGTAGCGAGTCGCTGGATCCCCGACTTGCTTGGCCGCGCAAAAGGAATCGCATATCCATTTCATCAAAACTACAAGACCGGCCGACTCGACTATGCCGATCGCAACACGCGCATACCAACGGAGTCGACTTGGGAATGTTCGGTACGCGTACATTGCGACTCGCGAGTACCTACGGATTGTCATGAAGCTGAATGGTGAGAGGGGAAACTGGGGAAAGGGCATCGATTAGAGTCGCTGGTTGATCAACATTTGTCCTCTTAGGTTCGAAGATCGGCTGGCCTCGATCATGAATCCAA